GTATTTGAGTATTGATGACAGTCTTAGTTCCAGCACTTTTTAACACTATAATTGTAACTTACGTTTTTTATTTTCCACCTTCAAATTGGTGGTGTAGACGTCGAGATCTAAAATGTCAGTTCAGCTTGTGTTTTTCAGTATGTTTTCCTTTTGTGTGCAAATCAAAGCAAATTACTCTCTAAAATTTCAACAATGAATATTCTTTCGTTAAAAACAATTGAAAAATCAAATTCAATTAACAAAATCAATCAATCATTTATTTACTCCTTTTGAGAGAGTCAGAGATAATTTCCATCATGCAGGGCACAGTCGAGGCCTGAGACAAATTGGGCCAGTGACAAACTGGCTTGCTTCCATCTATTATCCTTACATATCCTTTTTTGTGTGTGTGTTTGTTACTCTCTTGTTACACCCCCAATCTTCGTCATTTTTATTTCCTAACTGTATCCCAAGTGGCGTAATTAAGCGATTGCTAAAGGAAAAATTAATTAGACAGCTTCAGGGGGCTCTACGGGTTAATGTGTTCTCTTTCAATATAAGGTCCCGGGTTCGAATCTAGGTAAACGGCGGAAATTTATCTTCTTTTAAAAAATTGTCTCTTTTCACCTTCTTTCTTGAGCAATGTTCTGTCGTCTGCTTTCGTCTCCACTTTCTGCTCCCACCCCCCTCACCTTCTTTGTCCCATTCTCTGACTCCTGACTCTGTATGCAACCCAAATTTCTATTGCTACCCCTTGGCTCCTTCTTACTGACTGCCTTTTAGCCACACCCCTGATCTTATGAGAGCAGAGCCTTCTCGGACAAGGGGGGGGGGGGGAATCTCGAAGGTCCCGGGTGCAAGTTGGGCACGTTAAAGATAACTTGGTGGTCCAAAATCGATAAGAGTAGGCTTCGGCCGCCACCAGGGCAAAATTCAAAAATTCCTACCAATTGAAAATGTTTAATGTGTCCCTCACGCCCACGTGACCTTTTAATGCAGTTGCAAGCACCGTAAAACACGTTTTAAAAAAACATCTTCAACAGAGCCTATTAAATTAATCTAGACTCTAGCCGTACAGGGCTGAAAGACAGCAGTAAAAAGGAGCCAAGGAGTAGCAGTAGAAAGGCTGCAGAAAGAGTCAGGAGCCCAAAGGAAGGGGACAAAGGAGGTGAGGGGTTGGGGGCAGAAAGTAGAGACGAAAACAGATGACAGAATATTGCTAGAGAGCAGGAAAGGAGGTGAAAGGAGACGATTTTAGAGAATAATATTTTTCGGTTGCTATTCGGATTCGAATCCGGGACCTTTGAATGAGAGGCCAACGCCTTAACCTTTAGGCCACGCGAGCCCCCATATATATATTACAGGCTAAATATCAGAACCTTGCATTCAATACTAAACAAGTTTATTTGACAGTTTAAAACTTCAATCGCTCTTCCCAATCATAAATTGATAAGCTCTATATTCTCACAGAGAGAGTCCGAACATCGTCTAACAGGGAAATGCTTTAAAAATATTTTTTTTAAATTGTAGACCATTCACTAGCGTTTGGTCTTCATCTTCTGAAATTTCAAAAGCATGCTCTACATACTTGGGCTCATAATTATGTGCAACAAATGGCATGTGTAGTAGACAGAGCTGGACCGGGCACTGCCAAGCAAGAGCAGGGGCATATATGTGAGGCAGCGTGGTGGAATCAGGCTCTCGTCAATTTTTTGGCATTTAGAGATATTGGTATCATCTTAAAGCTTGTTCACTTGTCTTTATTCGGATGAAAAAAAATATCCATTTTATCTTAAATACAAGTCGAGATATTTGCGAATGAAGGAGGTGTGGGTCACCTGTTTTAAGAGGCAAAATTAGTGAGAAAATGGCAGCCAAAGATTAGTTATTTCCTTAGCTTAAGAGTCCAGGTCAAGTGAAAATTTACATTTTTTAGTGCCTTTAATCAACGTTTTTCAGGAAAAATTCACTCAGAAATGAGTTCTTTAATGAGCATGAAAGGTGTTGAGCCAAAAACAAAAATTTGATAAAAATAAACAAACCTGCAGAAAAATGCAAGTTTCTTCAATTTGATTATTTTGACGAGAGCCTGATTCCACCACGCTGCCTCACATAAATATGGAGAGGAGCTGGTGCTCAGGCGATGTTGGTATCATATAGCTTTCCAATAGGCCTAACGAGCAAAAACGTGCAGTGAAAAGGAAAAGGTAAACCAATTCCTCATTAATTTTGTTTTTATAAAGACCCCCCCCCCTCTCTCTCTCTCTCTCTCTCTCTCTCCTCTTCTCTCTCTCTCTCTCTAGGGCAGGAGGGGGGGTGCAATTTCATGCCTTTCTTATCTTTTAATTTATTAAATAATATTTTGCATGGATCATTCATCAAAAGTGTCTGCGCGTCTGTGCTTAGACTATTAGTATTAGTTCTTATCAACAGCACACTTTTTTTTTTAAATGTAGGCCTAGGTGAACTCATCTATCGACACGCCTTAGATAATACAGGAGGCTCCCTTCGACCATGTCCAACAACCTAGGGTCAACCCGAGTTGAGAGATTTAACATTCAAGCAGAAAGACCGAGATAATAATATGTACATCGTACTCGATAAAATTCACCATCGGGGAGTTGGGAGTGTGAAGGAAACGCGTTTGACCGACAGCACTAGACCACACTAGTATCCACAGACGCCGGTTCAATGGCAAGATAATATTATGACGTAACACGACATAGCCTCAACCAGCCTCAACTGATGGTGGAGCTTCTGTGAGGGGAAGAAGGTGCCCTTCACCATCCAGGGCTTGTGGCATGGCACCAATGTCTATGGGTGTCAATTTCTTCAAAACTTACAAAGCTTGACACAGCGAGGGGGCGAGAAAGAGGGACAAAAAGAGGTGATGGAGTGGGGAGTTAATACAGATCTACAGTTCAGCCTGTCTATAACGACCTTCGATATAACGAGATTCTCTGTATAGTGACATGGTACCCAGGTCCTGATTTTTTCCTGATATATGATATCATTAGTAACTTTTGGTTGCTTCTCGATAATGACACCTCTCTGTAACACTTTTTCTAGTCCTGACGATGTCGTTATAGAGAGGCTGCACTGTACATACATTACTCACGTTGACAGAGATAAAACGCTTAGAAGCAGATACAGACCAAGTAAGTAGAAGAGGCAGATTGGACGATAGGTGGAGAAAGACAAGAGGGAGAGATATATGATCAGACGATGTTCTAGTCTGATAAGAACTTGCTCCTGCTCGGTGGGCTTTTGTTGTTTACCTTTGGCCTTTGATGAGACATGTTACCGACATTGAATTATTATTTCCAGTTCATGACCCCAGCTGAAACTTAACTTTACTGGGCCACAAGGACGTTTACGTGTCACAACGTGACAGTAGGTGCAGCCTGTGCATGAGCTTCACGCAACACACAGTGGCGAGTTGCACATTGCACAGCCCAGATACGTACAAACAAGCAAAGATCCATGCAGGGTTAGTTAATGTACACTGATAATTACGAGATAAATACAGACTAGCATGCACGAAGTGAACATCCACAGAGTGAAACATGCATTCAGCAAGCAGATTTTCAGGTCCACATATTTACCTGTACAGGTGATTTTTCTTTGCATATCAAATTCTTATATATAACGAAAATCATACAGAACGAAAAGATGTCTGCGTCCCACCGATTTCGAGTTGTGAGGGGTAATTAAATTGTTGTATGGAAGTAAAAGTACATGTACCACTAATCTAAGGCCTGTGCATTTATCCTCTTCCCCTCCTCGGCTTAACCCATCCGGAGAAAGCGCACCCCACCCAGGGGCAAAGGCTGACTTGTTTGACAGGGTAATCAAAGTGAAACGGGATCAGAATCAGATATATGGCCTGTAGATATCACACAAGAATCTTACTCGAGGCGGCGACTCTGAGTTGTGAATGAAAACAAATCCGGAATTCATATTGTATGTTCAACTGCCAAAATAATCGGGAAAGTATCTTTTTAAATATCAGTTCCAACTAAAATTAAATTTAACTTTAGATGTGAATATATAAACACAAAGCAAAGAAACAAAGATGTCAGTACTAGATCTATATGCTATAGATCTACCAGTGAGTCTAACTCTTTGGTAGAACATGACAGTTATCATTTTTTAAATTTCACATTTGGCTGTTTTTGTTAGCCTTTCGCGGTCAGGGGCTGGTGTCATAATCGAGGTCACGATCTGATTATAGGACGGTGAAAAGTCGAGGAAAAAAACAACAAACAAGCACATGGAACAGTCAAGAGATTATTAGGAGTTAGTTCCCCTTACATTTGTGAGGTAGACTCGACCAGTGTTAGTTAGCTTACTTAATCAGGGATTGCGATTGTTTATAACTGTGGCCCCAAAGGGGTGAACAGGGTATATGCGGCAATGAAACAGCTTTGACTGCTATGCACATGTTCCCTTCAATGCTATTGGTAGACTCTTCCAGCCTTACTTTAAGCTTACTTAATCAAAGCTTGCGACTGCTTATGGAGTGGCCCGAGAGGGGTGAGGAGGCTATTTCTGTGGCCGTGAAACCGTTTTGAATGTTAGGCATACTGTTCATTGTTGATTACGAACGTCTTTTTACATTTAATTTAAGAGGTTTACGTTTAAGAATGAATTTGACAGCGACAATGTTTCGAAATTAGGAAGGGAAGCAGTGATTATTTGATTATATAGACGCTTCGCCCCTGACCCCACCCCATTCCCGCCGGTTGTAATAGATTACACCTCTATCGTGACACGAGTACTACAGGCGCTCACAACTTTAACGTACGGCTGACGGGCTCAGAATATCAATCCGCTGCATTAAGTTTTTTCAAATTATAATAGGTTGGATTCTTTCTTACTTTGTTGTTAAAATATTTTTTTGGGAATAAGGTTTTAATCATCCAGTTTACAATTATTAGGACGCTTACCTAGCTTCTTTCGGCAATTAGTATGAGCGTTTTAAGTTTTACTTTCGTTTTTCATGCTTAGTTTCCGGTTGTCCTTCACTTCACACTTCACACCTCACTCCGTCAAAAATGGCGTTCGCTGTTCGGAAGGCCACAACCTTCCTTGTGAAGCGCATGCATTTGCGGCCCGTGAGGAAGATACAATTTGTGTTTGACCCTTACTTGAAATCATCTGCATCTGTCAGGTAGTTCATTTATTGCTGTGCAAAGCAAAATGCTCACATTAGAAGAAACTGTCCATAATTGTACAAATTCAAGTTCAAGTTTTACTTGACTCATTATGAAAGACGGACAGCAGTAAGGAGCCAGGAGTAGCACTCAGTGTAGAAAAAAGTTAGAGGAGAGAGGAACCAAGAGGAGGTCGGGTGTGGGGGAGAAAGTGGAGATGAAAACAAATGGCAGAACATGACTAAATTATTTATAACAGGAAAGGAGGTGAACCGAAAAAAGTGAAGAGTCGAACATTTTTTTCGCTGTCAGTGTCAGGTTTCGAACCCGGGACCTTTTAAAAAATGAAGGCAAACACTGTCCCTCTTTTTACCTTTCACTCTAATTAAAAGATGTAACTACTTTCGTTTTAAGATTAAGGCATGTGACCCCACTGTGGGTGGTTGGCGGGTGCTCTGGTGGGGTTTTCTTCTTTCACTATCAAACATCTATCGTCTGTATCTACGCTCCTTCTTTTTTTGTATTTGTTACTCTCTTGTAACACCTCTAATCTTCTGCACTTATATGACCTTATTGTGTTGCAAGTGCCAAAAAACACTTTAAAAAAAAAAAAGACATAGGCCGCTAACTATAGTCCTCCACGAATCCCAGCTGTCCCCGCGTGTATGCCCCAACATCCGTTAGAGTCTTCTGCCACCTCTCAGCACTACATGTTTTTTGGTTTGCCTTGCTTCCTGTTTTCCTTTGCAGATTCCAGCATTAACTCTTGTCCTGTGTCTGTGCTGAGATGCGAATCTTATCAGCAACCGATTACATCGGACGTTCCGGGCAGGCCGCCGGGGTCACTCAGTGTGTAGGCCTACTGTTGGTGTACAGCGCGTGCGCCTGGAAACACGTGTTTTCGACATGAATAATGTGGGAGTGTGTTAATCGATGATGAAAATAACACTCTATCTTTCATAGCTTTCTATTTATAAACTGTTACAAACACATGAATAACCCCCTCTCATAAGCTGATAAGACATTACGAGTAGTTACGCCCATTCGAATAACCTTTCTAGACGCTCTTGTTGTTATGAAAGACCTTGGGTTCGGAAGGGGATAATATATAGTTAATTTCCTAATGTTTTGCACTCAAATTAAAGGGAGTGCTTATTTGGGCCACATATGGCCTAAATAAGGTAAGGGAGGGGGGTTTAGCTTATTTGGGCCACAGTGTGGCCTAAATAAGGTAAGGGAGGGGGGTTTAGCTTATTTAGGCCACAATTAAATTGTTCTTTGTACCTGCACAATGGTATTCAAAATTATCAAACAAGCTTTTATCAGGTACCGGTAGTATCATTTCATACAAAATCAAGCTGATTTGAAAGATTTTGTATAGAAAAATGGAAATCTTGTTTCTTGACTATCCTTTCGAGCTCCTCATGTCTAAGTGGATCAATTTGTTCTATAATTTTATTGGACGAACATCTAAAGCTACCAACTTGGCGTGTACTGAGTGAGACGTATCCCTCGGTTACAAACCAACGCAGGCGGTTCTAGAAGAAGGCCATAAACGCACACAAACTCAAGCAGACTGATGCACACACACTTGAGCTGTGTGAATGCAGATCTGACACGAGACCCGAATTGAACGGGAGATGATGCTCGGCGCACATGCACTGAGCCAGGGACCAGAACGATGTCGAGGTGCCGAAATAGGCTTATCGGGCGACATAAACCCGGCCCCTGCCTTGTGATGCTGACTGAAGGCTTTCTGAACATGTGACCGATCCATCTCCACCGTCTTTTAAGGATTACTTCTTCTCTGCCAGTGTGTTTTCTGCGAGAATTCTTGATTATAAAGATAAAAATGTTACTATTCTTGAATTGCCCTCCAGAATGGGGTTTGCTGATAATATAAAAATGTTATGTTGTTGATCTGTTTGCTGTGATCTGTTTTGTGACTTATATTCTTTTAAAAAAATATTTTGTTGAGGTCTGAATTTTTTTATCCTCATTAATTTGACTCTGCAGGCTTTGACTTTGATTCCAAGTGCAGTAGAGTATGATCCATAATTAACCTACCCTACATTTTTTTTTCAGGGATGTGGCAACTGTTCTTCACTTACCCAATGTCTTGGAAACTAACCAAGGAACACAGTTCAAATTTGACATCAAGGCAGACAGGAGTGAGCCACAAATGCACGTAGAATTCAGTGAGTTACGTTGTATGATTAATTTATTAATTTATAATCAAGTTATACAGTCAAGCACAGTTATAATGAGAGCTGTTGACTTAAAGAACAATATCTGTGGGTGGTTGGAGGGTGCTCTTGTGTGGTTTGTTCCTTCTTTCCTATCAAACATCTTACGTCCTAATCTCCCCTCCTTTTGTAGTGTTTGTTGCTCTCTTGTAACACCTCTAATCTCCTGCACTAAAATGACCTTATTGTGTTGCAAGTACCATAAAACTCTTACAACGCTAAAAGAACAACGTCTTGTTACAGTGGAACTCGGATTTAACGAGCTCGGATTCAACGAGAACTCGGATTCAACGAGAAGAGATAGATTCCCCGTTTTTTTTTTCGTGAAAATCAATAAAAATAACCCGGATTCAACGAGCACTTAAATCAGCAAGCTCGGATTCAACGAGGTCGCTTCCAGGGGGAACAGCCCCCACAGACGTGGCTTCGCTTATTTTTCTCCCAGAACGAACTTTATCTATTCCCGAAAACCATCCATTGCACTTGCATCGTGAACTATTGTTCACTTAGCCGATTGAATGCAACCAATCGGCGGCCTTCTTTCATACCAACACATGCGTTGTTGGCACGCGCACGTGTCTACTCTGGTGTGTGTCGGCGTTGGATGGGCGGCCTGCACACATGTGACTGTGTGTGTGTGTCGGGGAGGGGCGCACTAGCGGTCCGGGCGTTGAACATCGCAGATACAAACGCATCACACAGTCTTTTTTTTCCCTCAGCAACTGATCATTATTATATAGCTAGTATTGACGTAGATCTACGAAATGAATTGAGCGTTGGTCTATGGAATCAAAAGTTGCCGTGTGCTAGGCTCTACCCAGCACCACACCTTTTTGGCAAATAATCGAGATGACATAGGCGTGCATTTGAATGAATTGATCTTTTTTTTTTACACAGCTCATAATGTGCAGGCATTTCAGGCACTACTTGTTACTTCTCTTGACACATTATGTGCTCAGTGCCTGTAATAATCTACACAAAACTTTGTGTTTGCTATAACGAACACTCGGATTCAACGGGGTTTTAGATCAGGCCCGGCGACCTCGTTGAATCCGAGTTCCACTGTATAATATAATATAGCCCTGTCTCTCTCTTGCCAGGATCCACCCTTCTGACCTCCCCCCAACATACAGGGGAGTCTGTTTAAAAACCGAACCCAGTAAACCAAAAGAAAATAGAATCCCCAATTTTTTTCTTTGCTATGTTAGTGATCTTTCTGAACCGAGAACTGAGAACACAGCTTAACCGTACGTAGTCTAAACAGCCGTATGCACTGCTCACCGTCGAACGCTCCGTATCCCGGACTCTAGCATGGAGATCATCAGGAGAGAATGCGT